TCAGCAGAGGGTGGCTCCAGCCTTTGCCAGTGTCTCTCCATGCAGGTTTTATTCAGATTCCACCTATATCAAATGTTAGAACATTTATTCTAACAAGCACCTCATCTGCAAAGGAGCTGTAGTAGTGCCCATCCAGAACCAAGCAAAACTAGAACTCTCAATTCTTTTGGGAGAGGAATTTTGGCCATACAGCATATTCTTAGGACCGTGTTATTCCCTGTGCCTAGTAGTCCTGGAATATTTGCAACAGCCAATACAAGAGAGATGCCTCAAACAAACAGAGAGAAAAATAATAATTTCTTTTTTTCATAAGATCTCATACTTTCCTTGCTTAAAGATCAGGAAATAATAAATCAAGTATGTCAAAAAACCAGAGTAATTGATTTACACAGGTTAACACAACTAATGATGTGCTGTGTTATGCCTCAGAAAAGGGAATAAAAGACTGTTCTTGTCTTCTGATTTCATGCATAAAATCAGTGCTTTCATCTTGTCTGGCATGTGCTTTCAGAGTGTTACTTCATGTCTATTTAATTGATCAACAATTCTGTCATCAACAGAAGTGTCCCTTTCCTTTGCTCCCTGATTATAATGACGGGTATTTTGTTAAATTCTATGGGATTCAGGTCTGTCAAAGATTTTGATGGACAGTTTTTGTCAAAACCGAGTGGTAGCATCAATCATATTTCCAGATTCATGGGAATTCAGATTTCCATCCCAGGCATCCCAATTACTTTTATTTTCAGGAGTGAACTCAAGTGAATGATCTTATAGTGAAAGGCTTAAAACCTACTTCTAGCTAAAGTGTCAAAACAATACTAAAAATCTATCAATGTAATTTTCACTTTTCCTTGTAAAATTAGGCATATGCTTATCTGCATTTATATCTTTCTCTCTATTACAGTGATTCGAGCAAAAATATCCAGTGAAAAGGTGGTTCCTGCCAGTGATGATCCTCTTGATACCCACAAAATGATCCGGTATGAAATCAAACAAATAAAGGTACATGGAACCACTTAGCTCTTTTGAAGTTCAATGCTGATAACCTCTGTATATGACCAGTTTAGCCTGAAATGCTAGAAGCTGGAAAAGGCTCCAGCTGCCTCCACAGTTAGACCCAAGTGAACCACACGGCGTAAATCATGGGAGGGATAAATAAAAAAAGGGAAAGAAAAAAATAAAAGAAAGCTATTCTGACATTCAGGAGCTGCTTGCTAAATAATGATACTTTGATGAAAATTCTGTTATTCACTATTGCTTTATGAAGGCTTTGAAAAATGTACTTCAGCCAGTGAATGGTGCCCAGTGCATTTGCTGTTTCTGGAGGATACCTGACCACCTGTGTGGCATGAGGATGTTGCAACTCTGACTGGGTGATGCAAACTTTATGAACAGAGGAGAGCATTTCCAGCTGAAAGAGCAAGGCCCTTTGTTCATAGTGAATAGGGATACTTGCAGGACCAAGAGTCCTTCCCCAATCCTCATATAAACAAAAATCCATTTGTATGAATGTTGCTAGGGAAGCAAACGCCAAGTGGGAGCACCCAGAGACACAGTCATTCAGAATCTCACAGGCTTTTTCCACTATTTGTTCAGCTCTAATAAGGAGATATATTCACTAATGCACTTAGAGAAGATATGTCTTGATCCCATTCAAGTCACCATCAAACTCTCACTGATATGAAAGTTATCATCTCCCTGTTTCTGGAGTACACAAAAAGTAGGTGGTGTCTCTAAATTAAAATGTGAGTGTGCATTGGTGGGATGGTGTGGTTGGTTGGTTGATTGGTTGGTTTTCCAGGTGGTTTCATCTCTCATCTTTCCCTGAATATTGTTTTATATTATTTGTACTTTTACATTTACTGGGAACACTTAAGAAGATGATTATGAATGGCCTCATGCTTTCAAAAGAATATTCAGTCACTCAGGCTGTATCATTAAATCCTCTCACAGGAGTTTTACTAAGAGAAATCTATGGTAAACAAGAATATCTCTAAATATTCACCAGGATGGTTATCACAGATGACTTCTGTTAATGTTTTATAGCAATTTCAACAAGGCAGTCCTTACCTTGCTGAAACAAACCCCAAAGCTCTTCACCCTCTGCCACTTTCTGTCTTCTTAAACTACAAAGATATTTTTAAATGTTTCTTTATAGAAATAAGTACATAAATACCAGGGGAACTCTCTTTCCTCCCATTAGCACTTTAGTCTTCTGTTCCTACACTGCAAATGCAAATTATCTTATACTTCAGTACAAACAAGAAGAATGAGAAGTCCAGTCTGAGTGATTATTTACAGTCCATAACCCCATTCTCCAGTAAGAGCACACTGAAATCTCTGAAATGTAGTTATATATTAGAGCTGCTTTGGAGTTTCTCCCTAATTTTCACCAGTGGAGGCCTGTTCAAAACTCAGGCATCAGTAAGAGGTGTTCATTTCATTCCTCTCAGCTTGAGGGTAGCTCAGGTAGGGCTGG